TGTGAATGTTCGACGGTGGAGATATGACCCCACTGTGGTGGATGTGTCCTTACATGGTGTTCCTCCACTCACAAATACTCACTTGCTAATAATATTTACAGTTTCACAGTTTGCATGGATGGAACGTGCAAGCAGACAATAAACCAAACACACAGATGATGTGTAAACCACATACTTCTGTAAGGGACGAGAGATTTATCACTGCACTATTATAGAGCCTCGTTTTGGTAGCCCATGCAAACCCTAAACTATATAAGAGATGCATGTTGTTCATGTGATGATGAGGAGATGAACTCATTGTGGTGTGTTACGCATCTACTGAATATGAATTTGTTTGAGGTCACATTTCTCTTTTAACCTTCTGAACTCGAGTGCAATGCACAGAGGCGCATTTTATTGCTCAGGAGACTCAATTGTGTTTCATTTAAATATAAAACATACACTCAAATGAGTCAATATTTGTCATTATACAGTATAAGTGAGTAGAGCTATAAAGTAAATGCAGATAGCTCAGTATTAATTAGTAATAGTTATACTATTACAGTATTTGTTATAATTTTGAATTAGTTTTAGTCAACTCAACTTGATTTGATGAGAAAGGATTGCGGTTATATTGAGATCTCTGACTTTTCATTGCTGATTTTAGTGTCTAAATTTAAACACAACCTTAGTATTTTCTGAAACTGAGGAGACCACTATTTTTCTACGGGCAGAGTTTTTTTGCTTTATGTTTAAAATCTCGGTTTAATCTCATTTCTGTCTAGAAGAAACAATTGCAAATGGGTCCTCTCACCATCGGTGCTCGGGCCCTAATTAAAGAGATCTCGTGTGTGTATATGTGTTGTTTTTTTGCTATAGATGACTTCATTGTATAGAGAAGACAGGGAGGCGCTGTATTGCGGGGAACAGAGAGCTGGAAGCAACGGATGAGCTCAGCGTCCTCTTCACAAGGGGAACATGAGAACTTTTTTAGCTGATTCTGGAAGATCTGGGTCAGATTTTAAAATACACACAAATACATCAGCAGAACTTTAATGCATTCAGACTCGTTCTGTCCAAAACTGCTCTATAGAGACAGGACTCATGCTCACTTAAAGGGACAATTCAGTCTGTCATCATTTACTCACTCTCGTGATGTTCTTTCTCCTTTGGAGCACAAAAGAAGATGTTTGGCAGAATGTTCACCCTGCTTTTTTTCCATGCAATAAATGTGAAATAGGAACGTATGGTGTCACCATGAAATCAAAATTGACTATTCTTATTTTTTATGGAGTATTAAAGTATTTATTAATCTCTGCACATCATTATTTATTTTTATTTTTTTTAATTCCAAAGGGACCTTAAGGATCCAAACTAAATTTAAAGACGACCTATTATGCGCCTTTTCAAAGTCTTGTTTTTGGGCTCTACTAGAGCAGGTTTTCATGCTTGAATGTTGATTATTTTCCTCATATTCTCCATTGTTGCGGCTCCTCTCTTCCCAGTCTGTCAGTAACGCTCTGTTTATTTCCTGTCTCTATGAAGCCCCGCCTTCTGAAAAGCACACTGTGCTCTGATTGGTCGGCTGGATCAGTGTGTTGTGATTGGTCGAGCACTTCGAGTGTGTTTGGGAAATGTCCCGCCCCCTAACCATAACCGCCAGTTTCAACACTACTAACTAACTCAACCAGGCCCCGCCCCTTTTTTCTGCGTATGAATTATTTAAATGAGGAATATTGTGACGTGTTCGTTCCCGGATGAAACTCAAGACTACAATGGAGTTCAGAAACACTGACACTGAGACTTTGAAACTTTGCAGACCTTTTTCATGCTCAAACAGCAACATTACACACTAAAGAGAGTTATAATAGGAGTAGGACCACTTTAAATCATTATCAACAACAATCCACATAATCAGACTTTGCATTCCACGATTTACAGATTTTGTGTTTCACAGAAAAAAAGCAAATTATATGGGTTTGGAGCGACATGAAGGTGAGCAAATGCTGACAGAATTATGATTTTTGGGCAAACTATCCCTTTAAAGTCCAAACAAATGTTGCACACATGCTCGTTGCACAAACATTTACAAACACGGCCATCTGTTGCTCAGATCCATTGTTGCCTCATGCAATTATTCCAATTTTGCATAAAACACTGCATGTCTCAGAGGGGGTAGACGCGTCCTTCGTGCCTAAAACAACGGGAGCTCTGTGTGGTTTAGGAGATGGTGTGAAGATGATCGTTTGAACAAACAGCCTGCCCCGCTGCACATTTTTAATGCATTGCCTCTGTTCCAGTGCAGGTACGAAAGAAAGAGTGAGAAAAACATTCTCCATTGTCATAAAAGCGCCTGATGCATAAAACCTGAGCTGCATGCATTAACACTGCACATCAGTAATGCACATCAGTATGTAGGCTCACATATGCCTTGCACATGAAATGTGTCTTGAGTTTAAATGTTTGAAGTAGTGTTTCCCAGCTGGTTTTTCTTCAGTACCTCGATTTTACACCTGGACAGCACGTGGAGACTCACACAGTACTTTACTCTAGTCACTTCATATATTTTTACCGTACAATACTGTACAAAATGTAATGCCCTTCAAAATGCATTTCAAATGACCATTTAATTAATTTACATTTAAATTATGCATTTTTTTCATTAATTATATGTATTTATTTAATGTACCTAATAATTTCATTATTTAGCATTCTTACAGACCTGAACAAAACAACCCTGAAACCAATATTTGAGGTGCATCCCACCAGTTGAGAAGCGCTAGAAACACATTCCTCATGAAACAAACACCCACGCACATTTCACAATCATCTGTGCAGTCGTGTAGATAAAGAGCAATTCTTTCAGACACTCCGGCAAAATACGACCCACTCCCATCTTCTCGTGGGACACAGTGACCAGACGGTAACCTTGGATTGTTGACGTGTCTCATATCTCTGTGAGAACAACACTAGGCCCCGCCCCATTTGACGGATTAGCACGTTGACTCCTCCCACTCACAGCAATTCACAAACAAGAGATATTCCCATGTAAATCCTCATGAAGTGGCTGATGCGTCTTGTTTTAATGTCATGAGCTAAAAATGGTTGTCAAAACAGGAAAAAGCTCTTTGAATGTGATTTCGTTTTAAGGAACATCTTTTATCTCTTGGATCAGTGCAGTCACAGTGTCATGACTATATTGCTGCTGTGATTTGTCATTTTAAGGGACCCATATGCACTTATGTAGCATTTTATTTTTCCTTGAAGTTCACTTAAAATGTTAGTCAAGGTTTCATGCACCCAAAACAGTCCTAGTTAGCGCTAGTACTTCTATGAAGTTTAGCCTCAAATCATGCAGCTTGTTGAGGAAATTTGTGCTAAATTTGTGTTTTTCGTTTGGATGTTGATAGAAGCTGCCTGAAAACCATTTAGTAACATGCTAACAATCAATCCAAACTCATTAGCAGCATAGGACTGATTTATCAACCATGTAAATGTAATTATATATATACACTCACCGGCCACTTTATTAGGTACCCCATGCTAGTAACGGGTTGGACCCCCTTTTGCCTTCAGAACTGCCTCAATTCTTCGTGGCATAGATTCAACAAGGTGCTGGAAGCATTCCTCAGGGAGTTTGGTCCATATTGACATGATGGCATCACACAGTTGCCGCAGATTTGTCGGCTGCACATCCATGATGCGAATCTCCCGTTCCACCACATCCCAAAGATGCTCTATTGGGTTGAGATCTGGTGACTGTGGAGGCCATTTTAGTACAGTGAACTCATTGTCATGTTCAAGAAACCAATTTGAAATGATTAGAGCTTTGTGACATGGTGGAAGTAGCCATCAGAGGATGGGTACATGGTGGCCATAAAGGGATGGACATGGTCAGAAACAATGCTCAGGTAGGCCGTGGCATTTAAACGATGCCCAATTGGCACTAAGGGGCCTAAAGTGTGCCAGGAAAACATCCCCCACACCATTACACCACCACCACCAGCCTGCACAGTGGTAACAAGGCATGATGGATCCATGTTCTCATTCTGTTTACGCCAAATTCTGACTCTAACATCTGAATGTCTCAACAGAAATCGAGACTCATCAGACCAGGCAACATTTTTCCAGTCTTCAACTGTTCAATTTTGGTGAGCTCTTGCAAATTGTAGCCTCTTTTTCCTATTTGTAGTGGAGATGAGTGGTACCCGGTGGAGTCTTCTGCTGTTGTAGCCCATCCGCCTCAAGGTTGTGCGTGTTGTGGCTTCACAAATGCTTTGCTGCATACCTCGGTTGTAACGAGTGGTTATTTCAGTCACTGTTGCCCTTCTATCAGCTCGAACCAGTCTGGCCATTCTCCTCTGACCTCTGGCATCAACAAGGCATTTCCGCCCACAGAACTGCCGCTCACTGGATGTTTTTTCTTTTTCGGACCATTCTCTGTAAACCCTAGAGATGTTTGTGCGTGAAAATCCCAGTAGATTAGCAGTTTCTGAAATACTCAGACCAGCCCTTCTGGCACCAACAATCATGCCACGTTCAAAGTCACTCAAATCAACTTTCTTCCCCATACTGATGCTCGGTTTGAACTGCAGGAGATTGTCTTGACCATGTCTACATGCCTAAATGCACTGAGTTGCCGCCATGTGATTGGCTGCTTAGAAATTAAGTGTTAACGAGCAGTTGGACAGGTGTACCTAATAAAGTGGCCGGTGAGTGTATATACTAATGTTGATGGTCAAATGTTAATGCTTATAACTATGATCATACCTGAATGAGCCGTTCTTTTCTGTTTAGTTTTAGTGAATTATTCAATTCAATTGTTTGAATTGATAAATTGATTGATTGTTAGAAAACATTAAAGGATTATGTTTAATATGTTTCTGTGATATAACTTTAATGTACAGTTTTGTGTGGTTAGCATTTCAGTTTCTCGCACCATTACGGATATATTTGCAGCAACAGCTCCAGTCTGAATGTGTCTGTGGACTCAGTAAAAAGACAATGAGTTGTGTGTTCAGCGCGGTTGGCTACATTCCTACAGGCCATGCTGACGTGAAGTTTGAGACCAGAGAATCAATATACAACACAGAATTCATTGACTCGCCTGAGGATGTGAAGAACCAGCAGTATATCTCCAGCGACTCGGAGCGTTCCTTTACAAACACCTACTGAGTTTTATAAAGCACTTAATCTGCCGGATGTTTGGCACCAAATGCATTCCAGTGCTTTGTTGGTGCTTCTTTTAATTTGCACAATTTAGCGATATTTACTGTTTGTTGATGACAGTGAAAATGAGACATTTCAGCTGTATTCCAGTGGCCTCCAAGTTTACAAGCTTACAATGATAGCTCACTCAGGAAAATGAATGGTTTCAGAGGTCAGATCGGGGTTGGTGGTCACTTTGTCAAATGAGAGGTTATGGAAGTGTATATTTAGAGGCCAAGTTGGGTCATATAAAGTATAATACACCCTTTTCTAAGGGCAGTACATTTAATTGAAAAGTGTTTTTCTTTTGTTCTTTAGCTGTCTTTGGACCTTTCCAAAATGTGGATCAGGTGATGTTGAGACATCAAACAAGTCAAATGTTTCACGTGTCATCCATCATCATCAAATGTAGCTGAGAGGACATCAAACCAGAAGTAAGTTTGTATCTTTGCAACTCGTATCTTTGATATATTGACACAACCACAACACCTATTGGCTAAAAGGCATAAAACATGGCTGACAGCTTGTATAACTTGCCCTCACTTTGTGCTTTTTCACTTCATATATTTCTGAAGGCCTGCAGAATGTCATGATTTACAACTTTTGAGGCCAAACGTCATTCCGCAATTTTGAACCGATTCGCCTACTGTTTTTTTGCTTTTTTTTTTTGCACAAAGTTTTTCCTGTCTCCACCAAAATTGGTGCAGATTATCTTTAGATGAAACCTCACAGACTGCAGCAATTGGATTATTTGTTTTCAACAATATTTTCCAGAAACTGAATTTACTAGTGAAGATGTCAAAAAGGAATTGACACTATCATTATAATCTCTGCATTATTTATTTTTTTCATATTGCATTGTAATTTTGTCATTTCCACAATGCCCTCAGGTTGCAGCGCCACCTACTGGTGTACAACGATAAATGGAATAAAATGGAAATTACTGGGGCACTTTAACCAAACAAATCTACTGAACTTTAAGATGGAGGCCTTGTTTGTGTGCTAAGCCTTGTAATTTTGTCCTATTTTTAGAATAACCAATTCTTACATCATGAGAATCTCAAACCTAATCATCAAAAGTACATGGAATATCGTTTAAGATATTGATGTTGTTCTTAATAAAGTTGAAAATAGGAGATTCTGAAGATGCCTGAGGTAATTGGCAGTAATTCTTATCGTTCGATACAATAAGCAAAGCACTTCAGAAACGTCAGAGGAGATAGAGGTGTACGGCGGCCCGAATGCCAATGCTGATAAGCGCAGTTGGTTATGGTTATCTGACGGTTTTGCTGGACTGCAGGGAACAAACTAGCAATCAGCAGGTCATTAAGAGATTTTAGGCTCCGAATCAATATTTAAAGTCATTAGTTTAAATACTGACTGCAACCAAACCAAAACTCTCATTACATCAGATTTAAACAATCATCTGAAGAAAAAAAACAAAAACAAAAATGCTTATATAGTAATTTAGCTTAATAGATTTCTGATTGTGTTGTCTATATATTAATGTGATGGAGGAGAGTGTTTGTGTTTGAAAGCTGAGCTCTCGATACAGCTCAGAGAACTTCTGGGTTAATCAATTAACCGGGTGGTTGGGTGTAAACACCGTCAGTTAATTCTGTGTGTTGTGAATCAGAGACAAGAGAGGTGCCATGGCAGCTCACACATTCAGTGAACTTTCTATATATATATATATATATATATATATATATATATAAAGCACCTTATTGTCAGCTGTATGTTCTCGAAAATAATCACATTATAATGTTTACATATTAATAATCCTTTAGAATACAATGCCTCAAAAACACAATCAAAACAAAATATGCTTTAAAGATGAATAGGTGCGCATGTAAAGGTATTTTGAATTGAATTGAATTGAATTCAACTTTATTGTCATTGCATGTCACAAGTACAAGCAACGAAATGCAATTGCATCCATCCAGAAGTGCTTTAGCAAGGATATAATATATTACAAGCTATGTACATGCTATGAACAGTTTATCAAATGATTTATAAATATAAATATAAAGGATATGACAGACTATAAATATACAATATGCAAGTATTAAAATTAATAAACAGCTGTAGAACGATAATTATTGTATTGTATAGTGTGATTGTCTACACAGTATTTACAGTAGTGCAATTAAAAATCGATGAGATATATATGAGTACTAAGGGGCCTAAAGTTTAAATGTGTTTAAAAACAGATATATATTGGCGAGCTGCATTTGTATTTTGTTGCTAGAGTGTTGTTAGAGTGAAGCCGCATTAAAGGTGCTCCAATAGAAAGTGGCATGAAAACACAGCTGGCCGGTCAATTGCTGTAATTTGTGTGAAAGCTGACTACACATGTACACATAAACTGAAACGACTTCATCAGCGAGATTTGCATGCATGAGTAATGGAGGACGTGGTCTGGGCTGTTGGATAAACGTCACGTCAGATTAAGAAACCACGTCCACAGATGCGAATGCGCTGGCCTGTATAACCTTCAGCTGATTAGCAGAACTTATGTTTGTGGTGTTTACAAACTCATACTAGCCACAGGCGTCTGTGTGGATTACATTGTATAACCCTGAGAATGAGTAATGGTGATGATAGTAATACTTGTCTTAGTGAACAGCACTAATTATTTAGTGAACGAGAGCAAGTTTTGAATGTGGGAGAAACCTTTTATTCTGTGCAATGAAATGGCCACTTATGATTCTCTCTGTGAGGCCACGGCTCAAAAACACGACAAAAAAAAAAAGAAAAGAAAAAGACACGACTCCCACATTTCAAATTGAACTGCATGAGCCAAATAAAGCTCTGAGACTCTCAAAAGGGGAAGAGATAAACCCGCTAGGAAGCTAAGACTCAAAGATAGAGCGGTTTCTTTTTGTTACCTGCTGACACACACATCCGCAAACTGAGCACAAAGGTCAGGAAAGTGTATATGAGCTTTCAGCAGGAGCACACTTTCATCCTATGTATTCAACATAAAAGAATATCTCACTCTTATATTCAAGGTCAAGTGTTTTTGCTTTTGAAATACAGAGACGAACAAACAAATATGTTCCAAAACAAATTTAGAAACAAAACCTGTGACCTGGACTTATAAATAGCCACCTGGAGCAGACGGCATGTTTTTCCCCCCAAACAAATTAAATCAGCAATGTCCTTTTCTGACGTTTGCACAGCAAAGACAATCGGCGAGAACGGCTAATAATGCGTGGCCTCACCTCAAGCGACATTGTTCAAACTTTGGCAGCACATCATTCTGACCTCTTGTCCAACACAATGGTTTCTAATCACTCACAGGTTTGAATGGGAGCTCTGATATCTGAGGTCACTTCCTGAAGTCTCCTTGGCCACAACAGGTGCACAGTGACACTCTCACGTTGGCAATTAAACTCCTTTGGGTAATTACAAACCTGCTTAAAGGAATAGTTCACCCCAAAAATGTAAAATTCATTAATCATCCTTGTGTCGTTCCAAACCCGTAAGTCTTTCGTTTATCTTCAGAACACAAATGAAGATTGTTTTGGCAACCTGTCACTCACATGAGATCAGCCAATAGCAAACCACAACCACAATCAAGCCCCGCCCACATTTGTTCTTGTTCCAGAAGATGATTCACTCAAATATACATCACAATAGGGCAGAACAGACTAGCGCAACTTCTGTTTCATGCTGACTTTAATGCTCTAGCCCCCACAGGAAGTCAAAATAAAAGGCTGAGGAGTTTTAAAAGTATATATATATATATATATACACTTTTCACAGCTGACTTTTCTCATGCTGAAACTAGATGAAACATTCACCTCAGGAAGTAACAGCGCTTTAACACTCTCCATCAGGACCATCACTTTGAAGAATAGAAAGTTAGTTTGAAATAGAAACTTTTGTCAGTAAAAATGTCTTTACTGTCACTTTAATGTGTTCTTGCTGAATCAATTCCTTTTTAAAAAATCTTTCTGAACTTTTAATGGTTTCCTCTAGAAAGATTAAACCTTAGCTAACAGCGCTTAGACTTGACAGATTACAATAATATAATTTGCTATAGAAAATCATTTAAAAACCCCTGGTGAGAGTCATCTATTAAATTGCACACTACCATTGTTAGCATGTAAATGTGATGTTATGATGTATTCCACTTTTTGACATCAGAATTTTGCAGCTTAGTTTCAATAATTAGTGCATTTGCTGGATTTAATGTTTTAACAGACTTCATTGAAGCTTTGAGGAGCAGTACGTACATCAAACTCGATTCGATTTCTCACCATGTGACCCCCTGTGAGATGTTATTTGCCTGTTCGGAGATGTTATTTTCAATTCACACGTACATGCTTTTAGTTGACTGTGGACCTTTAATACGAAAATAATGATCATCTTTGCTGATGAAAACAGCTCAGGCACATAAATGAACATGGCTTTAGTTGTTTTCCTCTCATTAGAAGAACAATGAATAATGTGGAGTCATGGCAGTTCAGTGAAGTCTGATACACTAATATACACTTCTTTCAGCTCAGCCCAACGTCTCATTCCTCTGTATATCTGATTGGTGTGTCTTTCTGCTGATTTACAGTGTGACTGTATCGTCAGCACAAGCCTGCACTTGGATACTTTGACTGGTTTGTGGTAAGTTTTGCCAGGACTTGATTTAAAGGGATAGTTCACCCAAATGAAACTTACTTTCTTGTCAAACACAGCTATTTTGCATATGTCTTGGGTTATTTTTTACCATATGAAAGAATGGGGATGCTCAAAAAAACACTGACCCATACGACTTGATTTTAGGCCATACATGTTTTTGTTGTACCAATTCTGTTTTATCATACAATAATCTATCAAATGAATGACAGAATTTGTCCAAAAAGGATTTTCTTAATTTTTGTTGTAAACTATCTGTTTAATTTCAGTCAAAAATAATTGATTTTCATTTTCTTTTAAAAAATGTTGGTCAACTATTCCTTTAATTT